CGGGAAGCGAACGCTATATGCTATTCACCTAGACACGATAAGTTAGACTACAAAACGAGGGTAAGTACGTGTCTAGAAAACGAGTAAAATAGGAAGAGTCTCACCTCAGTCGATGCGCGGGAAGCGAACACTGAGGTGCTGCTATCGTACGGTCTGGTATAAGTGGAACTCGAAGAGTTCCGGGTATCACGACGCCAAGGCTACGACACGTAGGAGACAACGAGAATAAACACATGAAATCAGACAAAGGAATGTCGTCGAAGGAAACCGAACAAGTGAGGAACAAACGTGGGCCTAAATATCAAATATACGGCAGGAGACAGAACAGAAAAAGGGTATATTCACGATGGCGACATCGTCCGATGTCGGCCTCGATGTCACGACGCCAGCTCGTATCGCAACCACGGCGCCTACGCTACAAGCGCTGTCGAGCCTGTCACTTGTTTGTCGGCCGACAGTCTCGTATCTTGGGCGCGCGTCGGCCTTGCGAATTCCGACACTCCCCCTCAAGGCGAGCGCAGCCCAAGCTCGGAAGCGAAGTGCTTGACCTTCGGCGAGGGGAGGGCTTTGGTGAGGACGTCGGCCACCATATCGTCGGTCGGGCAATATACGAGGCACATCTTGCCTTCTTCGATGACCCAACGGATAAAATGGAAACGCACGTCGATGTGCTTCGTGCGGGCGTGGTACTGGTGCTCCTTCGCGAGCGCGATTGCGGACTGGTTGTCGGAAAGAAGGGGTATCGGCGTGATGTCGTCAGCAAAGAGCTCGAGTACGAAACTCTTGAGCCATAGCGCCTCTTTCGTAGCATGAGTCGCCGCTACGTATTCGCTCTCTGTCGTGGAGAGCGAGACTACCTCCTGCCGCTTCGAGGACCATGACACGGCGCCGCCGTCAATGAGAAAAGCGTACCCGGAGATCGCGCGCCGATCCTCTGCCATGTTCCCATCCGCATCCGAATAGCCCACGAGCGCCCTCTGCCCTCCGCCGTACGTGAGCTCCATGTTGCGCGTGCCACCCAAGTAGCGATAGATGCGTCGCACGGCGTCCCAGTGCGTCGTTCCGGGGTTGCTGCTGAAACGCGACACAGCGGAGACGGCGTACGCTATGTCCGGTCGCGTGCCCAGCGACGCGTACATGAGCGACCCAACCGCCTCTCGGTAGGGGATATGGCGCATGGCGGCATACTCGGCGGCCGACTGAGGGGACTGAGCCGTCGAGAGCTTGACGTGCGGCTCCATCGGCGAAGACACAGGCTTGAGTTCCTCGAAGTTGAAGCGCCTCACAATGGAATCGATATACGAGCGCTGTGACAGGGAGATTGTACGTGCGTCGCGGTCGCGGCAGACCTCAATGCCGAGGAGCCAGTGAAGCTCCCCGAGATCAGTGATCTCGACGTGCTGCCTCAACCCGGCCTTCAGATCCTCGATGAGCGCGAGCGAGGTGGCCGCAATGGTGCAGTCGTCGACGTGCACAACAACAATTGTGCACGACTGCCCATGCGTCTTGAAGAAGACCGCCTGGTCGACCTGGCATACCTTGAACCCAAGCTTGTCAGCAAGGATCTGCACGAGCTTTTGGTACCATCGGCGCCCACTCTGCTTCAAGCCGTACAAGGTCTTGTTGAGGCGAGCTACACGATGAGGGAACTCGGTGGATGCAAATCCGGGGGGCTGTCGCATGTAAATCACCTCCGAATCTGATAGCTCGCCATTGAGGTAGGCGCCTTTGATGTCCACCTGATGCAGCTCTAGATCGTGACGTGCCGCCATTGCCAGTACAGTGCGGATTGACCCGAGGGTGGCGACCGGTGCGAAGGTGTCAAAATAGTCCACCCCGGGGACTTGAGAGAACCCCTGCGCCACGAGACGTGCCTTGTGACGCACGACGTTACCGGCGGCGTCTTTCTTCGCTCGGAACACCCATTTGGAACCCACAATGTTCGCGTGGAGCGGCGCGTCAACCAAGTCCCAGGTGCATGCTGCGGAGAGCGTCGCCAGCTCCTCGAGGATGCCACGTTCCCACTCGGGCCAATCGGGGCGTCGTTTCGCCTCGGCCAGGGAGCTCGGTTCGAGGGCCTCAGCCGCTGCGATGGCTTCCCGGACAGCAAAGGCACAGTCAACGTCGTCATGGAGGAGGGCGTCTTCGAACGCTAGCATAGCGCTCACTTCGCGCTCCCCCTCAACGTCGGATGTGTTGCCATCTGGCCTCGTGGGGAGCTGAATGCCTCGAGCAATCTTGCCATCCCCGCGTACGCGGCCCGAGCTCGAGCCTACACCAGTGAGGAGGTCGCGCACAACTTGGCTAGGATGTCGCGTACGCTTCGAGCGGCCCTCGGTTGGTGCGGATTGCTCAGCTCCGTGCTCGGCGATTTCTCGCGCGGCTTGCAGAAGTGCGTCTGCAGTGGGCACGGGGGCATTGGGCAGCGGTGTGGCACTCGGTGCGGCAGCAGTATGCGCAGAGGTGGCATTGACGTCGGGGGCATTGGCAGGCGTCGCAGTGGTTGTGGCGTCGGACGCGGGGGCAGTGGCTGCGACTGGCGAGCTGAGGGTGACTGTCGTGGATGGCACATCCTCCCCCTCACGGCTGGCAGCCGAGAGCTCGTCAAAGTAGATGTTCCGCTCCACAGATACCGAGCGGGATAGGGGCCAGTAGACACGATGACCGTTGGAGCTGCGGTCGTCGAAACCAACCCATCGACCACAGGAGACCCGATCCCCAAGCTTCAATGCACCTTCGCGGCGAACCCAGACCAAACAACCCCACTCTCGCAAGCCGCTGAGGTCGGGAAGCGTGCCGTGCGCAGCTTCGTATGGAGTGCGACCATCAAGCGCTTTGGTGGGCGTGCGGTTCTTCAACCACACCGCATGATGCACGGCCTCACCCCACAGCGAACGAGGCAGGCGGCTGGCATGGAGCATGGCACGAACGCGCTCTAGGAGCGTGCGATTCAGACGTTCGGCAACTCCATTGTGCTGCGGAGTGTCATGCACCGTTAGCTCCTGCCGAGTGCCCGCTTGCGCGAGATGCGCCGTAAATGCGCCGCTGAGATATTTGCCGCCCCGATCGGAATGCAGCACCTTGACCTTCGCATCGTGCTGGGTCGAGCAAAGGCTCTCAAAGGCCTTGTATGCCTCGAACGTGTCACTCTTGGCCCTTAGGAGGTACAGGTGCGTAAGGCGTGTAGCGTCGTCTGTGAACGAGACGTAGTACTGCTTTCCTCCCAGAGTGGTAACTGGCGCCCGGCCCCATACGTCGCTGAAGACTTTGTCCCCGAAAGCCTCGGAGCGGTCGCCAAGACGCTCTTTTGCGATAGGCTTTCGCGTTGCCTTGCCATACACGCAAGACTCGCAAAAGAGGGGCTCTGAGGGGTCATCATTGAGGCGCAGGCCGGTGACTAGTCCGTCGGAGGCGAGCTTGCGTGCAGCGAGCGGAGAGATATGGCCCATGCGCCGGTGCAATTCCATCACGGTGACGTCGTCGGCGGCTGCGGACGCTCTGTCCTCGTCCCCGCTGTGGACAACACGGTACAATCCCCGAGAAGTGCGGGGGATCGCACCCAGCGTGGAGCCGTCCGGCGCGTGGAGAGTGCAAGCACCATCACCGAAAGTGGCACAGTATCCCAGCTTGTCCAATCGACCAATGGACACAAGCGTGTACCCGACCTCGGACGAATATAGAACCTCCGTGAGTCGCAGCTTGGAGATGTCCATGCCGTTTGGTATGTCAATCACAAGCTCGCTGCTACCGGTCGCGTGGAAACGCTGCTGGTTCGCGGACATGAAGGGATGCGGACTGATGGGCACAAAGTTCTCGAAATCGGACTGGTAAGGTGATATGTGGCGTGTGGCTCCGGAGTCATACAGCTCGGTACGTGAGGTGGGGGGCGTCTCGACATCAGCGGGCACAAGTGTGGCGTGGGCATCGCCCTGAGCTGAATCCTCGGCAGCATCGGCGGCGTCCACCGGAAAAGCGTTGTCGGAGATGGAGGAGTCGGTCTCCCAGTCGCCTAGGACACTCTCCACCTCGTTGTCGCTCTCGTCCGAGTCAAAATCGGAGTCAGACACCAACTCCAGGTCAGGCATGCTGTCCGAATCGTCTTCAGAGATGGAAGACATTGAATTGTCATCGGACTCCTCTGAGAAAGCAAAAGCCACATCACTATCTGAGTCCGAGTCATCGACCGCGTTGGCCGAATCGGTGCCAGTTGCGCCACCAGCTGTGGTGCTCGAGGACTTCGCGTTTTTCGGGCACGCACGGTGCAGGTGCCCTACTTCGCCACACTTCCAGCACGAACGCCCCTCCTTGCGCACGGGCCCTCGACTGCCGCCACCGGGGGCGAAAGCCATGGCCTCATCGCCCTTGTGAGTCCTGCTCGAGCGAGTACCGGGCGCAGGCTTGATCCGCTCATACTCCTCACCGATGACCTGTATCAGGGTATCAGGGTCAATCGTACCGGTGGGAGCATAGAGGCGGGCGGCAGTGAGCTGTCCGGAGGCAAAACTCGCAAGAGCTTTCGGCAGGGAGGAGATGATGGTGGAGCGATAGTCGGCGTCGTTGATATCAACGCCCACGGAAGCGAGCTCCTCCTTCTTCGTGCGCAGGCCGTCAAGCCACAGGCGAACATCGCCATCTTTGGGGCACTTGGAATTGAGGAAATCCGAGCGTAGCTCCGTCTGTGCATACGCGCCCTTCTGTGTGTACTCTTGGACAACCTTCGCCCACATAGTGGCAACAGTGGGAAGGTTCCGAATCTTGAGTACGGTGGAGTCGGGCATGCGACCGAGCAGCAAGTTCTTGGCCAGGCTCTCTCTTTCGTCCCACTTGTCCAACGCCGCCTGCACTTCGGGCGTGAGAGCAGGTGGAGAGGGGTCCTCGTCGTCCTCGTCATCGCCCTGTCCCGCAGGTGCAGCGGGAACAGCAGGTACAGCGGCTGCGGCAGGTGCAGCCGGAATGGCCGGGACAGCGTTGGGCCTCGCAGCCGTGCCGCAGAAATGCGGCCACAGCTTAGGCTTCGCCTGCACACCCGTCTGGAAACGAATCGAAAATATCGCCCAGTTGGCGCCGCGAGGGTCGAGTTTGGGGACGTTGGAAGGAAGGGTATCGGTGGTAACAGGTTGAGAGGACGACATGGAGGGCAGAAAGAGCTGGGTATTGACTGGTAAAGCCGGGGCTCATAACCTTTCAGGTTACGAGTAGATACAGAGCGCGTCGACTAGACACTAGACACGATAAGTTAGACTCAGTCGATGCGCGGGAAGCGAACGCTATATGCTATTCACCTAGACACGATAAGTTAGACTACAAAACGAGGGTAAGTACGTGTCTAGAAAACGAGTAAAATAGGAAGAGTCTCACCTCAGTCGATGCGCGGGAAGCGAACACTGAGGTGCTGCTATCGTACGGTCTGGTATAAGTGGAACTCGAAGAGTTCCGGGTATCACGACGCCAAGGCTACGACACGTAGGAGACAACGAGAATAAACACATGAAATCAGACAAAGGAATGTCGTCGAAGGAAACCGAACAAGTGAGGAACAAACGTGGGCCTAAATATCAAATATACGGCAGGAGACAGAACAGAAAAAGGGTATATTCACGATGGCGACATCGTCCGATGTCGGCCTCGATGTCACGACGCCAGCTCGTATCGCAACCACGGCGCCTACG